TGTTTAAAAGATGAATGTATTAATATTACTCACTCTGTTGCCATGGTGACGGCTGGTAGAGAGGGCTGCAGACAGTGAGCTGAAACGGTGTTTGTCTGGATGAAAAAACAAAAAGATAACTGTAACTATGTTTTCATTCATCTGTAAATGATTCTAGAAAATAACGTCAGACTGGTAACAAGAGCTCAGATGTTAAAGGAGAACTTTCATCAGTTACTAAAGATTAGGGCTGAACGATTATCGCAAAGGCTGCATACCTCTGGTCACATGACACCCATGAGAAAGCAGTCTGCAGACAAAGTCCGCACATTAGCTGTCCCTTGCCTCTTGTTGTACAACGGCCTTAAGCTTGACAGAACTGAAACCACATAAACTTTAGTGTCACACAGGGAATAAAAGCAGCACTCGCCAGCCGGGTAACTGGTGGTGGCTGAAATCGACAGTAAAATGCACAACAGAGACGCGTGCAGTGAGGTAAGCGTCACACACACAGACAGCAGTCACTCAGGGAATATATATTAATATATGAAACTAAACGCGTAAGTCTGAAAGAGGCCCGGTCTGGTTACAGCCAGTGCTGCTCACCAGCATCGGAGGCTGCGGGGAACTCGCAGGGAGAATTACTAAGCTTGTCTAGTAAACACGAGAGGCGTCACTTATTTTCGTTGGCCAACTTTTGAATTAAACCTGAAAGAGCGTTTTTGCTTACTTACTAGGATACAGAAAGATGGACTCCTGGGAGATTAGAACTGAGAGGACTCATTAAAGCCCCCTCCAGTGTGTTTGACATTTCTATGATTTTCATATGTTTCTGAGTCATTTCCTACAATGTTGATTACCCACTAGTTTGGCAAATATTTTTGACAAATAGCTTAATTTTGTGCTCAAAGTTGCAAAAGTTGCTTAGTTGTTAAAACGGGTGGTGACGTATGACTATAGTTATTCCATAAGTCATACGTCATTCTCCAAGCTTGCGCAGGCGCACTGTCACGCCTCGTTGAAAAACCAATTTTCATCATTTAATTAGAACAATTAACTAGTGTGACTCTGTGTCGATTGCTGGTTTGTCTTCTAGTTTAGTTAGCTAAGTTAACTAAGTTGTAGTTAGCCAGGTGTGGTTCTAGCACAGTTATTGCACAAAGTTAGCTAACAGAGGGTCTTCATTTTGTTTTTTAGTTTCCTCCTCTGGGTTTAGTGTGCTGTTCATTTTCATTATGGCATCTGTGCGTGTGGTGTTGGAGGACAGACACAGTCTGCAACACGCATTTACTGACGGGCGAAGGCTGTAGGCCGAACTGATGATATTATATCATATTATTTAATGCCATGACTTGACTCAAATTATCTTTCATGTTATTATAATTTGATATATCTTCCACCATTGCTCATAACAATAATTCTACCTAATTCATCATAACACAAGAAACAACAGGTAGTTCTATCTATCTAATATTGTGTTGGTCAGACTATCACTGATTTACTGCTTGTCCATTTTGAATAATAGAGAAGGTAAAGAGCTAAAAATGAATTGCAATATTGGTTAAAAAAAAACGCTATTAGATTATTTCCAAATCGTTCAGCCCTACTGAAGATCACAGTTCACATGTGAAGCTAACAGTGTTTCATAGTGTTGGTGAAGCTGCTGCTTCCACAACTGAACTCTATTTCTGCAGCATTAATACATTTTTTATAATTACTTTTATGCCCTGCGATGGACTGGCGACCTGTCCAGGGTGTACCCCTCCTTGCGCCCGATGTCAGCTGGGATTGGCTCCAGCCCCCCACGACCTGAACGCAGGATAAGCGGTTGACGATGGATGGATGGATATTACTTTTATATTACATACTGCTGGGTGGCTTGTGAATTCCCCCCAGGGGACGACTGGAGCGTTGTTGATATAATAATATGAGAATTTGTTTATGGATTATATTTTGTATCATTAATCTGAATCTACAAGTAACTAGTAAGACATCAGACACATGTAGTGGAGTAAAGTGTGCAATAGTTGCCTCTAGTGTCGTGGAGTAGAACTATGAAGTAGCAGAAAATAGAAATGCCTCAAATTGTTCTTAAGCACAGTAGTTTAGTTTAATTTAGTTACTTTTCACTTCTGGTAACTGAGTTGTGATTGAGAAATGTCACGAACGTAGCTAATGCTAATTAGTTTAGGTAACATTACACATCAGGAAAAGGGCTTTAAACAGCCCACAACATTATTTATGTTACGTTACTGCCACTTTATTTGAATGTCAAGGACAACCGTTCTCATGTATTCACTATATTAATGTTCACAACAACAATAAAGGCTTACCTCAGGTTTTGATAGATACAAATGTAATACTTCAGGATTTATGAATCCAGTAAGGCTGCTGCTAACCTGGATCTCATAGCAAAGACAGTCATTCTGCCTTCACTCACTCAGTAGCCATTTTTAAAAACAGGTCATTTAATTTCAGTGTTCTTGCACAAGAATGAATGAAACACACAGGCATCTATAAATATCAGTTTGCATGTAAAGTGAATCTTTTTTCCATTTTAAGCTTTATTGGTGAGTATAACGTCCTGATCTTGACATTAGAAGATGTTCCGTCTTTTCTCTCAGTGTTCTTACCTGCGTTGTTGGCTTCAGGAAGCTCTGTGACTCTGAGGAGGCAGGAAGTGTTTTTATCCTCTCTGTGAAGTCACGTGATTTCACAGAAACTCTCTCCCCTCCCTCTGATCACAATCTCATCATTATTTGTTTCTTTTCTCCCTCCTGACAGACACATCAGACACCAGCAGATTAAAAAAAAAACATTTTACAGTTGAAATGTCCTCTGCTGGATTGTGGAAGCTGAATCTATCTGCAGCCGCAGCCTCAGCCACCTTCATTCACTTCCTGTTGATGTTGCTGCACAGCTTGTCATGGTTTTGGTTTTGTGCTCTCTGTTCTTCCTGTTTGAGTCTTTGGTCTGTCATGATGTGTTTCGTTCTCATTTTGCCATTTCCCATGTTTACTAGTTGTTGATTCACTCCGTGCCCCTGTGTTCCCGGCTGCATCTAAAGCATGCGTTCTGTGTTCTCTGTTATGTTCTGTTACACTTGTCCTGGTTTGTTGCTTTACTTCCTGTGTTATTTTGGAGTGTTCTGTTTCATGTCTCTCTGTCTAGCTTCTTTCCTGTTTGTTCGGATTAGCTCCTCATGTCTTTCCTCGTCATGTTGAGTGTTCTGTCCTGTTTCTGTGAAACTGTATCTGCATCTGGGCCCGACCCTGAGCTTTCCTTCCTCTTCGCTCAGCCAAATCCTGACAAACAGTCTCTGGTCTTACAGCAGAGTAGTGTGCTTTGTTGGAGAGAATTGAATATAAAGACATCAGGTTCATGTGAGTAGTAACTAAAAGACACATGTTGAAGTGAGGTGCATACACTGTGTGTGTACTCTTGGGTTTGTGTGTGTCGTGATATCCTGGACAGGTCACACTCTACACAAGCTGACAAGGTCTCTGTCACCTGAGGACTCGGTCTGCTCTCCAAATCACGTTTCGTCATGAAAACACAAGTTAAAAGTGAGATGTGGGATGACATGAAACTATAGACGAAACAGCTGTTATAGACAAAGAATCTGGGTGAAAGACTGGATCAGCAGGTAGCAGGGATCGTCTGAGCTACAGAGAGCTGGAGGGGACTAAAAAGTGTTTTGCAGTGAAAAAGTAGCTGCCTGCTCTCATTGGCTGGATGTGGATGTGAGTCGGCCGACTCCTACAGATATTTGGCGTGCTAGATATCTGGCTGGCATCAGCGAGCCTCTTTCATGCATCCTTGAGTTGTTTACGTAACGATCAGCCTAAAAGTGTTAGTGTGAACTAGGCATAAAGAAGAGGTTCAGATATATGTAACATACATTTTGAGTTCACCCTAATTTATCTTCCCACAACACTACACAAACAGTAGTAAAAGAAAAAAATGTAGGTTTATCGATACTGTCCTACTTAAGCACAAGTGTGAGACACTTTTGATGAATTGTGACTCTGTACGCAGCATACTTTGACAGAGAAGAGCAAAAGCTAAAGTCTCATTTCAGGGAGTGAAAGGAAGTAAAGGATCAGAATAGCAGACACAAAGTCAGGCTAATTTATATCTAATTACATCTGGGTTGTTTTTATTGTTCTTTGTTTATAATGAAATCTTATATACTGTGTTTAAACGATGTGTGCTAGTGAGTCGTTAAAAGCCCTGCACCATCCTCGTAGAGCAAACAGTGTCTATAAACAAATTACATTATCTTTCAGAAGCAGCGTGAAAGCCAGAAACAGAATTACTATTGTCTGTAACAGCAGAATGTGTTTCCCTTAGCTATGAGCAGAGCGTGTGCCCATGGCTGCGTACAGCGAGCGTAGAGAGCGTACAGGAAATGATGACGGCCTTCTGTCTCAGCGGCCAGCTGTTTTAATAACGTGTTTTATTAGCACGTGATTTTACTTGAGTTTCTTCTTTACTGTCTCTTTAAACCTCTCATCTCTACTTGCAGGAGAACGATGAACAGCAGGGTTGAGGTTTCTTATTCCTCTTTGTGAAAAATGAAACGTCTGTTTTTACTTCCTCTCTGGAAACGGAAGAAAAGTCCTACGTTTTCACAACCTGCGACCACGGCTGTGAAATAACACTTAAAATAAAAAGACAATGTGGTGAGTGAAAGTGGTTTTACTTTGACATTAAGTGGAGAAACTGTGAGATCGTCTCAACATGCAGAGTAATCCAACACCTTTACCTGTAAACCAGGTATTAAAGGAGCTCAGGACAGAATGTTAGTTTGTTGCAGAGTTTGGATGTGAAACTTCTCTATTGTTACATGAATGTCATTCAAGACAACATTAAGCTAATATTAGTCCTGATGTATAGACGGTAAAAGTGTGGTCTTTTTTCATAGTATACTCAGGACATGTAGAAAGATTTCCACAAAAACCTAAAGCAGACATTTGCTGACTTGTAGTTTCAGGTCCTCTTTGCCTGTGTGTCAAATGTTTCCCTCTGAACTCTAAACATGAAGCTGATCTTGATTAAATGCTGTACTTAAATACATTTGTGAGGTATTTGTACTTGACTTGAATATTTCCTGTTTGTCTTGTGACCTCTCAGGTGTTCTCAGCGTGTAGTCGTGTCTCTTAATAAAATCTAAACAGATAGATTAGATGCTTTAATAAATGACAGAAAAATGAAACTAAATATCTGTGAGGCGCTTTAAAGATTTACGTCTTCAGCAGGAACCAATGGGCTCGCAGCTGAGAGCCTCAGACCGGAAGTCTGACGGGACTAACAGACCCAGTGATGTTGTGACAGTGAGCCGGCGTCAGACCTGGAGCTGCATGTTGACACCGACAGTCTCAGGTCTGAAGGAACAAACAGCTGATGCTGCTGACTGGCTGGCTGATCACTTTCTAATGTTTGTGTTCAACATCAGGGTCCAGGAAGCAGCAGCGGAGACGGCAGGACAGCAGGTCTCAGGTCAGATCTTCCAGCAGACAGGTGGTTACAGAGAGGCTTCAGCTGTGTTCAGGGGAATCAGCTGCAGGAAACTCTGCAGAGACCAGCACACTGAGAAACCTGAAGAGGGTCTTCCAGGTGTTTCCAGGTCTGGGCACATGTTTTAAAGTAGTATAAAGCCTTTAGCGTAACACACACCAGTCTGGCAAACTGTCAGAGGAAGCATTGCATTGTGGGTAATGTACGCGCAAGTTTGGACAAAGAGTATGTGGAATAAAAAAGAGCTCTCTGGTTCTGCAACTGTAATTCTGACATTTTTGAGTCTGACAGAGTGACAGAGATGTGTTTTTGTTAATTAACGCTGTTTTCTGCCGTCCCTCTCTGGTAACTTTTACCAGAGAAGAGAACTTTCCTGGAGTTACTAGTTGGAGGAGCAGCAGTTCTGTTTGGGATACTTCGGAAACGTCGCAGGGGAAAACGAGCAGGCGCGCTGGTTAAGCTGAGACAGCGGGGATTTCACACTGCACTCCCTTCAATCCACCTGGCGAATGTCCGCTCTCTGGACAACAAAATGGACGAACTGCTGCTCCTCAACAGAACTAACTTGGACTTCTGCAGATCTGCCGCCCTCTGTTTCACATCCTGGACAGCGCACTTCACCTACCGGGATCGCGAAAGGGAGCACACGGGAAAAACACGGGGAGGTGGACTCTGTTTCTATATAAACGAAGGTTGGTGCACAGATGTCACAGTGTTGAAGAAATCATGCAGGCCTCACCTAGAGACATTATTTATAAACTGTATGGTGTCTCACCATCATGCCTGAAAATCTGTGCAGACCAGCTGGCCCCCATCTTCACTCAGATCTTCAACAGATCACTGGAGCTCTGGACTAAATGACTATCTGACATCTGTAGTCATGAAGTCCTTTGAAAGACTGGTGTTGGCCCACCTGAAGGACATTACAGGCCCCCTGCTGGACCCCCTGCTGGACCCCCTGCAGTTTGCCTACAGGGCTAACAGGTCAGTGGATGATGCAGCCAACTTGGGTCTGCATCACATCCTGCAACACCTCGACTCTCCAGGGACACATGCAGGGATCCTGTTCGTGGACTTCAGCTCGGCGTTCAACACCATCATCCCGGACATCCTCAGCACCAAACTCACCCAGCTCACTGTGCCAGCCTCCACCTGTGGATCACAAACTTCCTGACTGACAGGAGTCAGCAGGTGAGGCTGGAGAACCACATCCAGCACCTGGACTATCTCCCTCTACACAAACGACTGCACCTCAGGAGACCATCTGTCAAACTCCTGAAGTTCACTGACGACACAACGGCCATCGGCCTCATCCGGGACGGTGATGATTCGGCCTACAGGCTCTCTGGTGTGGTTCTTTACAGTCCAAGCTGGAAACTTCTGTTTCTTTCTGACTCTGCTTCAGTTAGAAAAGTTTATTAATAACTAATTTACCTTTAAAAATCACTATTTTATTATATTTCCTTTTCTTTCTCTCTCTGTATCATGTAAAGAAATTTGAATCACCTTGTTGTTTAAAATTTAATGTGACCTGCCTGATGCAAGCTGAATCCCAAGTTAATTTTTATTTATTTCATTTCAGGTTGATTTAACAGGGATAATGCACACTAATGATACATAAATAAATGTATAATGTGCCATAATTAACCAAAAGGCTTTTTTACATCTGCTGTCCCTGGACAGACTGTAGTATGTCACACCTAAAAAGATAAAAGGATTAAAATAGTACATACAGGTTAAGCCCAATACAAGTAAAAATGTATTAAAAATGTATTAAAAATGTACCTAACCAACCTAAAAACAAGAATAGTTGGTCAACACCAACACACACACAGGCCACTATAACAAACATTGTATAATGGCATATGGCATAAATTTTTGGACGCACAAAAAAAATATATAGCTGGGACAATCAGAGTTTGATTTACATGGGAGCCACAGCTGAGCTCCCATGGAAGCAGAAAAATCCTGCAACTCTGGGGGTCTCTAATCAATTTACCATTACCCATTATTTTGAATCACAAATAATGTATTTATCTTTGTAAGTAGTACTTATTATTATGTTATTATTTACATTAAAAAGATGAACTACGCTGCGCATGACTGGCAGGATGGCTGCGCTTCTCCACCATCAGCCGTTATGGTGTGCGATATAGGCCAGTTTTGACCAAACAGGTGGAGACCGTGCGCCGCAAACATCAACTCAGTTTCAGTGCTTGAAGTGCGCTGGCACTTCCACATTTTACTCTTGTGCATACCGGGACATTTTCTTGCGTACCGGGACTTCTCCCGAGCTGCCGGTCCTCTCCTCTGCCCTCTGCATATCAGGTTCTCTGAGCGCCTGTAGGCCCCCTGTAGGCGGGACATTTAAAAATCTTGACAGATAGTTGTTATTTACACTGAGGACAGGTCAGAATCAGAACGTCTTCAGCATTTTTTGAAAGCTTTTGTTAAAAATGTTCTGAAAAACAGCAAATGTTAAATAACAAATGAAACAATGCACAATAAGAAAACATGCAGTGCAACTGAAATGTAGAAGAAACAAATGCACATTGTCCAAAAAAGTTAAACAAGCTGATGATTATTATTAATTCAATTTATATAGCACCAAATCACAACAACAGTTATCTCACAGCGCTTTTCATAAAGAGCAGGTCTAGACCGTACTCTGTGATGTTATTTACAGAAGCCCAACAGTTCCCACCAAGAGCAGCACTAGGAGACAGAGGCAAGGAAAAACTTCTTTAAGAGGCAGAAACCTCGAGCAGAACCATGGCTCAGGGTGGGCGACCATCTGCCTCGACCGGCTTATTATAATCTAAATATTTTAAATTGTCACCTGCCATCTGAATTTAGTTTCCCTTTATATAAATAAAGACATTTCCACCATAAATTGGTGCAGGAAAGTCTCCAGAATGCTGGAAATGAAGTGTTAAATGCTCAACGTCTTCTAGGGGATGACCCCCACAATCTAAATGTAATGTTGACAGTCCTGACTGCCTGTTAGCCACTTCTTTTAACTTAAATTTAAACGAACCGTAAATTTCAAAATTCTTGATGTCAGTTGGGTTGAGGTTCCATTCACGCAGCCCTGACTGAAAAAACTGTTTGACTCTGCACTCTAACTGAGCGGGACACTGCAGCCGCCTCTTGCTGCACTCCTTGGAGATCTGTAAGCATTTGGTGCAATACAGGAGGATCCAGTCCATGTAAGATTTTCTACATATGACAATGATTTCTATATATAATCAAGTTTTCAAAACTTAAAAAGGTTATACATTTTAAAAAAACATGACAATGATGAGAGGATATGGATAACAAGAGGTGATAAAATCACTGAGTGCATCAACATCATAGTGGCCTTTGTTGGCATGTAATTACGGACATATCTAACATTTGCCAGGTTGAACTTAATGTTATAACAAACCTTCTTGAAGTGTGCTTTAAAAGTTTTGATTGTTTTTAATGTATACTCCAAGGTATTTAAAATCTTAGACAAACTGCTACGACTGCATCTGGTTCTGCACAGCAACTTTTAGATTTACTGAAAAACATACATACATACCGCTTTGGATACATTCAGTTGAAGTCAATAGTGATTTTGCCATTCTGTTATTTTTTGCATTGAGTTGTGTTGCGGTGGCAGCCGGCTGATGACCCGCACCTGTGTCTCATCAACCTCCTTCTCCGCCCGCCGCACCTGTCAGCCTCATCTTCAACAGTATTCCTCCACTCCATCTTCGCTTGATCGTCGTCGCTCCAGTCTGGTGCCACTGCTACGTTCTAAGCTCTCCTGTTCCTTGTCCCTTAACCTGTTGTCTCCCGAGACTAACCCTGTCTTTTCTTTCTCCCCGCCAGGTCCACTCACCTCCGCCATCCAGTCAGTCAGCCGGGCTCGCTTCGCCTCCGCGGCGTCCCCCTGGCTTCCCTCCACGCTCCTCACCTCCCTCGCCTCGGCCTCCAGCCCCCTCTCAGTCGCCTCGCTCGAGCCTTGCCAGCCCCGCCTGCTCCTCGGTCCTCCGTGCCCTCGTCTGCTGGCGTCCTGCTCACCTCATCTCACCTCCCAACTCCCCTCTTCCCTTTTCCCCCTCAATAAGCCTCTTTTGGTAATCTGACAAGCGCTGCGTTTGGGTCCGTTCTGTCTGCACCCGTAACAGTTTGTTAGCAGATCAGCAGAAGAGCTGCACTGTTAGCGTGTACAAAGATTACTGTGTCATCTGTATCCAAGCTGCCTGACCGTATTTATAAATACATAAATACAAATGCATCAATTTTAAAGCCTCGCTATTGACATTGGAAATAGTAGTTAGAATTATTGGATTGGGCGCATGCGCACGCAGCAACCAGCAGCAGTAGCGGTAGTGTGGCATTTTTCTGTTTTGGTTCGTAGCCTTTATATTTTACAGTTTCTAGTGATGTTCAGCAGACCCGCAGCTTATCTGTAGCCCTTGTGTCACATTCGATGGACTGGTCTTCACAAGCCACAGAAACCATGTTATTTACTACTGGCATGGAGTGGCTGGCACTCGTGTTGTTACTGTCGGCATCCTACCTGTTCCAAGGCCGGGACGGTGACCCTCCATCAAGTAAGATCCAGTACACCAGAGACATCCATGAACGCTGGTGCAAAAACTTTATAGTGAGAGCGTCAGTATGCACCAAGGACATTGAACTGCTCTCTGTGTCTATGCGTCCACCCTATTTACCACGGGAAGTCCCATAGATTTTTGTAACTGTGGTGTATATTCATCCAAATGCGAATGAGAGCAGAATTGATCCTGCAGACTGTACAGAAGTTACAGTCACTGTCTCCTGATGCCCTCATTGTAATCCTGGGAGATTTTAACCTGTGGAAAACAGGCACCTTTTGCCAGAAAAAACACCTAAAATAACAAACCCAAAATGAATCAGGAATAACTCCTCAACCATTTGGCCTAGATGTATAATTCTGGTCTTCTTTGAAAAGTCAGAAGCTAAGGAATATAAATCCATTTTATATTAATATATTTATTTTACTATGACAGACTACATGGAGATCTGATATTTGTATCCTCTCCTGGTAAAAAAGCTATATTTTAATGCAATAAACCATCAAAACTATCAAGGAGCAAGCTTTTAATGCATCTGAATATCTTCTAATACACCTAGAATGCAATTGTAACTGTAAATCTAATAACAGACTAAAATACAACAGTTATCATACAATATTTTCTAAATATACCAGGCGAATGTCCATAATTTGGCAATATTTACTGTTAAAATTTTATTGGTAGATATCTTTAAAACACTTTTTCAGTCCATACAACCTATTTCCAAATGACAAAACATTGAAATATTGATAAAAACAGGAGTATTCATCAACAGTCCTGTCACCAAAAGCACTCCCTGCTTTACAGGCCTGTAGATTGAGAACGGAACATCCCACAGTGATGGGGGGGTACATTTCATTTGGTACCTGTCTATGCATCTCCATGGATCGGCCATAAAATGGTGAAAAACACTGTGTGTTCTCAAGCGGCATGTTTCCTCTCTGCAGAAATGTCGAGAACAGGCAGGCAGCTCGCAGGTATTGCGCAATAATCCAGAAGGTGCCCGCCTAGACTCGGAGCAACAACATCGGCGGGTTTTGGAGTTAAAACTGTGAGAAAAAAAATATTTTTCAATCAGTAATTTCGCCCACAGCACGGTTGCCCTCGGTACCGGGGGCATCTGTTTTCAACTTCAAAACTTTAAAAGGCTTTTATAAATATATATTGAACCAGAAATGGCAAGACACTAGGTCAATGT